GAATCCCTGGTCCACGTCATACAATGGGAAGGCAGTGTAAGTGTGGAGAACAGAACTCCAGGCAGGTTGAAGATGCATCTAGGACCCAGCTCCTCCTTCCCGAGGAGCAGGTAAAGGGCCTGATGCTGCAGGAGGAGGGCAAAGGGGGGACAGAGATCGGGAAGGCTGTTGTGGTTTGTCCTTGTTAGATACCCTCCACTGAATCCTGAAACAGCATGGAATGCAGCCAAAAATCCTTTTTAAAGATTATTTCCTTTTTCAATGTGTCAGCATAAGGGAAAGGGGGGGAGTTCAAACATTTGTGCAGTTTGGTTATGGTTCTCTCTGCTGCCAAAACCTTTCGGCAGCAGGCCAACCTGTCCCCAGGAGAAAGGTGTGTTTGATTCAGTCCTCTAAGCTGCATTATTTGCTGAATTATAGCAACTTAAAAAAAAAAAAAAGTCAGCTTTTTTAAAAGAGGGAAGAGGAGAGAACAGGGAATGAAGAACTGACCGCATTTCCTTCCCTGTCTCCTAGAAGATGTGTCTCAAGCTTTCCTTGAGGCTGTTGCAGAAGAAAAGCCCCATGTAAAACCCTATTTCTCTAAGACCATCCGTGATTTAGAAGTTGTGGAGGGAAGCGCTGCTAGATTTGACTGCAAGATTGAAGGTAAGTTGTAGCTATTCTTCCCTTGACTACAAAAGTGGTGTGGTGGACTGGTGGGCTCTGCCCTGTGCCCCGAGCAAAATGTTCATTCTGGGCAGCCAGGCTGCGAGGACAACGGGGCCAGGAGGAGTTGGCCAACTGCTCCCACTCCACCTCCTGAAGGTTGGTGCCATTCAGTGACTCGCCTAGGACACCCTTGCTATTTCACATCCTTACATCAGCCACTAGACTCAAGTTAAAAGTAGTTTATCATGGACCTGTTTGGCTATGGAACATGCTTAATGAAATGAGCTTTGCAAGCTTCTGGGAAGCATGTGAACTGCCCACAAGAGGCTTCAAAGGAAGGTGGCCATGAAGAGTATAGGATGGGGAGTCCGGTGGCTCTGCTGCTCATCTGTGGGCTGTGTGACCTTGGGTGGTGATCTAAGTCTTCCGAGCCTCAGGCCTTTAACCTTAAGATGATGTCTAATGCCTGCGTAGCTCTGGGGAATGCTATGAGAGGCCATATGGGAAAAGGGGGAACCTCTTAAGTCTGTTCAAGATGTCATGGCATCAAGGGAAAAGTTGTGGGATTGGTAAGTGCAGAGAGTGAGCGTGCCATGTGACTTCAGATGGAGGGAAGCTGCGCTCCAGGTGCCTGTGCCACCTTCCCCATGCTTCTCTGCCTGCCGAGAATAACGTGGCCATAGAATTGTGAGCTGTCAGTGCTCAAGGGAACTTAAGGGATCTTAGCATAGCACCTGAGAAGTGAGCAATATTGGTGACACAAAGCATTTCCATTTCCAGAGATGGCAACATTCCAGAAAGATAAGGGCAAGAAAAGACAGGGTTCTTTGTCTCAAGTCTGTGACTGTTGTGTGCCAACCAAAGTGGAGGGTTATCTCCCATTTCAGTCTGACCAAATAAAGCACAGGAGTTCATTAGGCAACTTTCCCAAGGCTGCATAGCACAGGACAGCCGTCAGAAAAAATCATGCCTCCCAACGTTCTAAGATTCTCCAGCAGTAGGACTAGATAATGCCTTTTGGGTAAAGTAACCCAAAGTGAGGAATGAGAAAAGTTTTTCTCCTGCATCATTATATATATCTCAGATTGCCTTGTAAATACAGGGCCTATAATCATCTTTCTTTTTTTCTATTCAATTAAAAAAAAAAAGTAGATGTGTTGCCTTTGCTAGTATGGAAGTGCACAGCTTGGGGACACTGTTGAAAGCTCTGGGGCCAGTGCTCAGAATTCTCACCATCACCACTGTCTCTGGGTCTTCTGAAGTTTTTTCCTTTTTAAAAATTATTACAACATAGTGATTATCATTTTTGTACTTTTCTTTTTGGGATTAGTTCCTTCATTATTTGCAGAACTTTGACTAGAGCACTAAGGAGGAATTAAAGCATATGGCTGCCATTTTGATACAAACAAAATCTACTTGAAAAGAATGTTCGAATTCTTAAGTTCTTATGTGTAATTTTTATTCTGAATGGGGCTGTAATTTTTTTCCTGTAAAAATATTTCTCCCAAACGTAAAGAAAGTCAGTTAGAATTATTATATATTTGTAAAGGCTTATCCGTGTGAGTATATATATATATATATCTCATATATATAATAAGATGTATATATGTATATAAAATATATTTTTTAAATGCTGAATTTTCCAGAAACATGACTAATAACATAAAATGAGGCTAACCAATGTGGTCAATTTCCAGTTATCTATAGTTGGCAGATTATCTGTCTTTGGATCAGACTAAGATAAATATTGCTTTTTTTTCTTAGCAATATTATCAGATCCTCTAACTTATGTATTATGGAGCTTATAATGAGCTTTGAGTTATAATTTACGTAACATAAAATTTACCCATCTTATTGTACAATCACCACAATCCAATTTTAGAACATTTCCATCACCCCCTAAAGATCTCTTGTGCCCATTTGTTTTCTTGTTTTTTATTTAAATTTATTTAAGTTCAACCCTTCTACACAAGATAAGAAATTTTCTTTTCCTCCAAGGAGATCTTTAGCTCTAGGCGTGTGTCTGGAGTCAGGGCTGTGTTGCAGGTGGGACGTAGTACAAGCCCCACGTGGATGGCAAATGGCATGCCTGTAAAGTACCTTTTGTGGGATTTCAGATATTGCTATTTACAACATATGCCCATATCTGAATGTAAATCTCAAAAGAGATGCTAAAAGCCAACATCGTGATTTTTTCCTGTACCCCCTTAATCAATAGAGGTTGCTTAGGAGCTGCTTGCATGAATTGATAAGAAACTTTGAATAATCGTTTCTGCAACTTGTGTCCTCTCCCCATGCTGCAGGATACCCAGACCCTGAAGTTGTCTGGTTCAAAGATGACCAGTCAATCCGGGAGTCCCGCCACTTCCAGATAGACTACGACGAGGATGGGAACTGCTCTTTAATCATTAGCGATGTTTGCGGGGACGACGATGCCAAGTACACCTGCAAGGCTGTCAACAGTCTCGGAGAAGCCACCTGCACAGCAGAGCTCATTGTGGAGACCATGGAGGAAGGGGAAGGGGAAGGGGAAGAAGAAGAGGAAGAGTGAAACAAAGCCAGAGAGAAGAAGCTTCTAAGGCATATTACAAAGACTATTTCTCTAAAGCTCAAAAAAATCCAAGATAGTAAAAGCACCTAGTGTGATAGATTATCTAGTTAGTCATTTGAGGGTTGATTGTTCAGCAACAGCTGTTGGTACTAGCAGCAGCTATTGATGGGCATTAACATGAACTAGTTGGCGCCTTAAGATACTAACACGGCCAGATTTCATTTTGGGAAATTACCAGTAACTTGCCTGATCTGCTGATTTTAGAAAGTAACCAAAAGAAATCTTTATCTGGGCAAAGTCATAAATTCCCTAACTGAAAGCACTCATGAAAAATAAGGCCCTGTGCTCACAGCTCAGCCCAGAAGGTCCCTGGAGATGGAGATGTGTCTCTCCCAGCTCCTAATTCCAGAGAACGGCGTCTCCTCCAGTCCTGCAGCACTTCATTCTGAAAGCAGTTGAGCCATTTTAACTTACGAGGCCCATTTGATTCCAAAGTATACTATAGACATGCAAACTTTTCATTTCTCTCCCCTGTTCCACCTGCCAGTTTTGCTGGCTCTGAACTTGCCATGAGTTTAAGCACTAAGGACATGACGCTTCTTAGATTCTGAAGACCGGTTCCCTGCTTCGTGGATGGCTGGCTTCCATAGGAAAATAGAATCTCTTTTCTTCCAAAATCAGTAGGAAATCTAAACTTATCCCCTCTTTGCAGATGTCTAGCAGCTTCAGACATTTTTGTAAGAACCCGTGAAAAAAAAAAATCCTTGCTAATGTGCTTTTCTTCTGAAACCAGGATTCATATTTGTGCTGTTACAGAATATCAGCTCTGCATGTGTGGTAAAGATGTTTGTGTTTGAATGTATGAAAAACCAGTTTGCTGAAAAGTGAGTCTTAATTATTTATCGGCCACTATGAAACAGATTTCAACTGATGAAGGGCTGTAGAACTGCACGTCCTTTGGAATCTCCTTCAGGGCAGTCTGACTTTAACACACCTTCCATTCTAAACACTCGCCAGAGAACCCTACCTACCTTATGGGGTTCCACAATGTTTTCTTCTTGAATGTGCATCAGTCAGGCCTTGCCCCCAGCCTTCAAATGTATCCATAGACCTGATAAATGCACTCAGACTTGCATCTTTAGGACTTTTTCTTTCACTATATTGGCACTTAAATTTTTCTTTATAAACTTTTTGAAGGTCATAAACAAAGACTATAAACCGATATACCTAATACATTTCTCTGCGTGTGTGTAACATTCCAAATACTTTTTCTTTTCCACTGTTTGTAAAGTGCAGCAATTTCATATTTCAAGGGACTTTTTGATAGTTCCTCGAGAACCAATTTGAAATGACTTCAGTGCAACCCTACACAGTATCAACTTTAGAACTTTGATATTAGTCTTATGTTACCTTTCATTCTATTTTTATCTGCTTTTTGCTGCTAGTTTCAAATTTGCCAGTATTTTTCTTTTTGCTTTTTAAGCAGTTAAACAATTTTTTTCATAATAGCCACAGTATTACCACAGTTTATAATAAAGGGTTTTAAAATTTGATTTAGAGCATTTGAAGCTTTTCTTCACTTAGTTGTGTTTAGACTATAATCTTTGTGTGCATGTGTGTTGTCATGTGTGTGCCCATGTGTGGTGTGTGTGTTTGCTACAGGTTTTTAAAGTCTTGAAATTGTGTTAATGTTCTCCCAGTTTATTATGCCATCAGAATGGTAAATGAGAACACTACAACTGTAGTTAGCTCACAGTTTTTAAATAAAGGATACCACAGTGCATGGTGTTTGTTCAATCTCTGCAGCCTTCTCTTTCTTGCCATGCCACCCCCTGGAGACTACCCAAAGTGATCCTGGAAATGACAAACAAATCCTGTGCTGCATGAATGGCTTAGATGGTTGTGCTTCGCTAAGGAATACAACGACTTACGTAGATCTTGTTCACACGAGGTAGCCTAATTTGCACATTTTGTGCAAAATCTCTCTTGAGCATCCCCAGTTTGATTCAGTTACATTCTACAGATAAATTCCATGGACATTCGATATCTATCGAATCCTCATAATGCTAAAATCTTTATGACATTTTGGCATGTGACAAATCATCATTATTATTATCAGTATTATCAACTAGGGCTTGGTTTGCATTTGTAATTTTGGTGCAGTTTGTTATTGGCAACCAAGTGCTTTCTTTCCGTGTCTTGATATTTAAACATTTGTTAGGAGGAAATTCCTGATAACGCTCCTGCTCTATTGAAATCTGTTATCAGATGGTGAGCCCCTTATGTCTTGAGTGTTCAAACAATATTATAGATATTCTAGAAAGAATCAAGGCATGCTAATAAATGCTGGATTAGATGATTCTATGATTCCACAATGTAGCCTAGAGGGAAATAATCCATTGTCCAATTAATATTTAATTTTTTTTCATTTTTTTAAGGCAACCACAATCCACAAATGTTCCTAGTGTGGAAATTACTATTTTTAAAGAAGAGGACTTTTTATTCCTTGCTAGGGAAAAATTGACTAAATATATTCTGCACCAGGAAAAAAAAAGTACATTTTCTCCCATTCTATTTTCATCCCAAACACATAAAAAGTCATTGGTTGTTGTTTACATTGCAGAACTTCATATTAAATGATATTTCTATGTATACTTAAAGACATGATGACTATTGTCAGCTCTAATTTATATAGTCGCTTTTTCTTTTAATCAAAGTGTTTGAGTTTTACTTTTTTTTTTCAAGATTTTATTTATTTATTTGACACAGAGAGAGACACAGTGAGAGAGGGAACATAAGCAGGGGGAGTGAGAGAGGGAAAGCAGGCTTCCCGCGGAGCAGGGAGCCCGATGCGGGGCTCGATCCCAGGACGCTGGGATCATGACCTGAGCGGAAGGCAGACGCTTAACGACTGAGCCACCCAGGTGCCCCTGAGTTTTACTTTTCACATCTTACTGGCTTTTAATAAATCGATGCTAATAAGTATCAAGGAGATGAAGGATAACTGAATTCTAAGGAAACTCAATTCTCCAATCTTCAAGAAAACACAAGTAATACTACTTTCTTTACCCTTTAGGAACTCCTTCTCTGCATTTTGAAAGGTAGGCTAACATCTGTGCCAGTCCTTACTGAGGCTCTTTGCCCCCTGGCACAGCATTGTGGGCCCTTGGCTCGATGGGGCTGTGACTAGTCCTGGTCAGTGAGCTGTGAGTAGAAGTGATGGGCGTCCCCTTGGCCAGAGTGCTTAAGTACTAATGCAAGACTCCCCACTCTGCGTCTGCCTTTGGCTCGGGTCATGATCCCATGGTCCTGGGATCAAGCCCCACATCGGGCTCCCTGCTCCGCGGGAAGCCTGCTTCTCCCTCTCCCACTCCCCCTGCTTGTGTTCCCTCTCTCGCTGTGTCTCTCTCAAATAAATAAATAAAATCTTAAAAAAAAAAAAAAGGGGGGAAAGAAACAACCAGCTAGGACAACAATCTCGAGTGTTTTTGGAACCTGGAGCCACCTGAGTTAGGGGAGCATCCAATGGGGCCATCTGAGATAGATGCAGAGAGACAGATTCACTAGGGCAGGATTTCCTTGACAGTGACCCAAAAGGGTGGTGGGAGGGGCCACTGTGACAACTACAATCATTTATCTTCAGTGGCTTTGAGCACTGGAACTGGAAATGCCCAGGAGACCTACAGTGTTTGGAGACAACCTTAAATTTCTAACTGCTGCTTGTTTGAAATCTTAGCCTGCAGGCCTTGCCATGTTCCAAATGCTGACATTCTGCAGGGAGGGCTTCATGTCAGAGACAGTCACCCCAGTGGTGACCACATGGAAGTGTACCATAAATCCTCACATTATTAGATTCTGGGACTAGAGTCCTTCTAGTTGGAGATAACTAAGGAAGAAGAAAATTATAAATTAACCTGTCAATTTGGTCATTCCCACTTACTAGCTTCTTTTGGGCAGACATGAGTAGCCTCCAACAGTTAAGAGATAGGTGGAGTTATAGGACTCCTCCACAACTTTATTCCAGATGCTATGTTAAAGTGAAAGATAGCCTCAGGCCAAATTCGTCAAACATTCATTAGCAAGTAGTCATACAACCTATTCCGTAAGGTCCATGAATCCCAGATCTCTCTCCAGAAAGCACCCAACCTGTTCATTGAAGACAAATGCTGCAGGATACGAGGGTAGGATTTAGCTAACCTGCTTAATCAGTCAAGGGGACTCAGTTTCAGCTGTACCTCTCACTTGTGCTTGTGCTTCAGTTTCCTCATCTGTGAAATTAGAGTAATAGCGCCTCCCTCATAGTTTTTATAAAAATTAAATGAGCTCAGGATGCCTGGGTGGCCCAGTCAGTTAAGCAGCTGATTTTTTTTTATTAAAAATATAATGTATTATTTGTTTCAGGGGTACAGGCCTGTGTGATTTTTTTTAAAGATTTTATTTATTTATTTGAGAGATAGAGTACAAGCAGGAGAGAGACGCAGAAGCAGACTCCCCACTGAGCAGGGAGCCCGATGCGGAGCCTGCTGCGGGGCTCGATGTGGGGCTCCATGCCAGGCTCCATGCAGGACTCGATCCCAGCACACTGGGATCATGACCTGAGCCGAAGGCAGATGCTTAACCGACTGAGCCACCCAGGTGCTCCTAAGCGTCTGATTCTTGATTTCAGCTCAAGTCATGATCTCAGGGTCATGAGATCAAGCCCCGTGTCGGCTGGGTGCTGGGCATGGAGCCTGCTTAGGATTCTCTCTCTGCCTCTCCCCACCCCACGCATGCACACACGTGCTCACTCTCTCTCAAAAATAAAAATAGATGATTTTTTTTAAGTAGGCTCCATGACTGGTGTGGAACACAATGCAGGGCTTGAACTCTGACCCTGAGATCAAGACCTAAACTGAAATCAAGAGTCAGATGCTTAACTGACTGAGCCACCCAGACACCCTGAAAAAAATTTAAAAAAAAATAAATTAAATGAGCTCATGCACATTACCTGATCCTGACAGTAAGCCCCTATTCTTCTGGCACTGAAAGATACTAACATGTGTCAGAAACACCCTCTACTCTCAAGGAAGTGATTATACTTCTGCAGAAACAAAATACATATGTAAAAAGTTATATACTAACGAAAGACGAAAAGAACTATTTAAGTTCACCCACCTCCCAGAAAAGGATCTTTGAATCTGAAAGTGCCCATGCAATTGTACAAAAAATAATTGCTGTGAGTTTAGGAAATGCTACAACTGCCCACTTCTTCTAAGGGAAAGTTTTAACTCCCAACTGCTACTCTCCTCTTTATAGTCACAAGAGAAAAGCTCATCTGACCTTATGAATCTATTTTGCAATTTCTCAGACTTCGCTTGGCTTTAATTGCACTATACCTTTATCCCAAAGAGTTCCCTAATTTTTTTTTTATCTTTGATCTATTTGCCATTTAAGTAACATTAACTCCTATGAAAAAAAACATTGTGAAGACCACCAGCTCTATACACAAGTACAGTTGGGGTGGGGGGAAGCATGTGGCAAAATAACTACAATCTGATTTACTAATTGAGGAGTATGTTATGGATATACACACAGACTCATAATTACCAAAAAAATCTTAACTTCACTTTCTTTTTTTTTTTTGATGTAAGAATAATTTTTATTTTTGGTGGTATCTTCCAGGTTATAGAGCACTCCTACAATAGCTCATTTGATTTTTTTTTATCATTTGATTTTTTTTCATCATGATAAGTATACTCTTTAATCTCCATCCCTTATGTTCCTTACCCCCCCCATCCACTTCCCCTCTGGTAACCATCAGTTTGTTCTCTATGGTTAAGAGTCTTGTTCCTTTTTTTTTTCCTTTGCTCATTTGTTTTTTTCCTTAAATTCTACATATGAGTGACATCATACAGTATTTGTCTTTCTCTGACTTATTTCACTTAGTAGTATACTCTCTAGCTCTCTCCATGTTGTTGCAAATGGCAAGATTTCATTCTTTTTATGGCTGAGTAATATTGCAGTATGTGTGTGTGTGTGTGTGTGTGTGTGTGTGTGTGTGTGTTTATATAAAATATCTTCTTTATCCATTCATCTGTCAATGGACACTTGGGCTGCTTCCATAGTTTGACCATTGTAAATAATGTTACAATACACAGAGGTGCATGTATCCTTTTGAATTAATGTTTTTGTATTTTTGGGGTAAATACCCAATACTGCAATTCCTGGACTACAGGGTAGTTCTGTTTGTAATTCCTTGAGGAACCTCCATACTATTTTCTTCAGTGGCTGCACCGGTTTGCATTCCCACCAACAGTGCAGGAGGGTTCCTTTCTCTCCACATCCTCACCAATGCTTCCTTCTAGGATGGATACTACATAATAATAAAGGGGACAATCCAACGAGAGTATATAATATTTGTAAATATTTATGCACCCAAGATAGGGGCACCCAAATACACAAAACAGTTAATAACAAACATAAGAGAAATAGTCATTACTAATATAATAATGGGGGACTTTAACGCCCCACTTAAATCGATGGACAGATCATCCAAACAGAAAATCAACAAGAAAATATTGGCTTTGAATGACACACTGGACCAGATGTATTTAACAAACATATTCAGAACATTCCATCCTGAAACAGCAGAATACACATTCTTTTCAAGTGCACACAGAACATTCTCCAGAATAGATCACATATTAGGCCACAAAACAAGTGTCAACAAAATAAAAAAAGTTGAAGTCATTGCACGCATCTTTTCGGACCACAACACTATGAAACTAGAAATCAACCACAAGAAAAAAATCCATAAAGAGCATAAATACATGGAGGTTAAATAACATGGTATTAAACAATGAATGGATCAACCAAAAAATCAAAAAAGAAATAAAAAATTACATGAAAACAAATGGAAATGAAAACACAACAGTCCAAAATCTTTGGGATGCAGCAAAAGTGGTTCCAAGAGGAAAGTCTGTAGCAACGCAGGCCTACCTCAAGGAGAAAAATATCAAATAAACAACCTAACTTTACACCTAAAGGAGCTAGAAAAAGAAGAAGCAAACAAAACCCAAAACCAGCAGAATAAGGAAATAATAAAACTTAGAGCAGAAATAAATAATATAGGAAAAAAATGACATAAAAACTAAAAAAACAAAACAAAACAATAGAGATCAATGAAACCAGGAGCTGGTTCTTTGAAAAGATCAATGAAATTGATAAACCTCTAGCAAGATTCATTTAAAAAGAGAGAGGGGGCGCCTGGGTGGCATATGCCTTCCGCTCGGGTCATGATCCCGGGGTCCTGGGATCAAGCCCGGCATTGGGCTCCCTGCTTGGTGGGAAGCCTGCTTCTCCCTCTCCCACTCCCCCTGCTGGTGTTCCCTCTCTCGCTGTGTCTCTCTCTGTCAAATAAATAAAAATCTTAAAAAAAAAAAAGTGGATTTAAAAAATAATAATAAAATAGAGAGAACCCAAATAAACAAATCACTAATGAAAGAGGAGAAATAACAACCAACACCAGAAATGCAAACAATTATAACAGAATATTATGAAAGTCTATATTACAACAAATTGGACAACTCAGAAGAGATGGATAAATTCCTAATTTTTAATTAATATTTACAAAAGCTAATTCACATTGACTTGTTCCTGACTACATATTAACCACAGAACAAAGAGTGCTCTGCTAGGCAGTCCCAGGAAGTGGCTGGGTAGTTATCTTTTTTTTTTTAATTGTCTAGAAAGCTCAAAACAGAGGGTCCTATTTTCTGGAGAAGCAGAATACCAAGGGCTTAGAAAATGAGAAGCTACCATGGCAGAAGTGGAGGCTACACAGGACCTACTGAAAATAAGCAGTCACTCTGCTTGCTCTCTTTGGAACCCATGCTAAACTGAGAGTAAAGGAATAATTTTTTTAAAGCCATAAGCCCTTCAAAGACAAATATGGGAGAAGACAGATGAAAAATACTAGACTTTTGGAAGACAGAAGGTAAAGAAATGAATGGGTAACTGACTTAGAACACAGAAGCTGAAACCTGACTTCCTGTAGAGAGGGGAAACAATAGGAGGCAGGTCAGCTTTGCCCTGAAGAAACCCTAAAAGTTTAAACACTGGAGGAACCAGGTACTTATGAAGGGGATCCTTAAAGGGAATGTAAGGTATCAACTCACAGATGCCAACCAAGGTCATTTAGGTCAAAGCAGGTCAAAAATCCAACTAGGAGATCAAGACAGAAGTGGGATGGAATAGGTAGGAATTAGGACAGACCAAGGTCCAGAGTCCAGGAAATCGGTCTGAACACATACATTCATAATATCCATAAAGTGCAGAAAAGAGCCTGGTCCTAGAAAGGCATTTGCTCGCTCCAGCAGTTTTAAAGACATAAACTTTTTCACACTGGTTGTCCAAGAAGCCAAATTGTTTAGACTTTCAATAATGAGCCTTCTTAATGGATGTCTTACATTCATTTATTTAAAATAAAAGCTCAGTTAACTAATTTCCATTTAATCCAACTTGCCCAACTTAACCACAATTTTCATTCCTCTGTAAAATAAATTAACTGATGCCCACATACTTCTAAGTGTAGTCAACTGGGTTTGTTCTTAAACTTATTTATTCCAGTTGTAACTGTAATTACATAATTTAATTATTATATAAGCCAACAAAAATTGAGTGATAAAGGGAAAAATAGTTGTTTCTATGGAAACTGAATGAAGATTAGTGGCCATACATGGCAGATTGAACACTTGGCATTTATTTCCTGTCTTCCAAAACCTCACTAATATGAAAGTAAAAGGACAAAGGCATGAACCCACACGGGCAAAAACAGAGAGAGGTGATATGGCAGACTTGAGTGTTGACAAAATTGGGGGATAGACTAACTGGTAACTAATTTTGTTCTTTTTCCACTCTGCAAGTGGGTGCAGGAGAGAAAGCCTCAAAGAGCAAGCTGAGTCCTACCAAAGAACTAGGCAAAAGTAGAGGGATTAGACCAACTGTCTCCCATCTCCTCCTCTAACCCATATGGCCCTCTGACAGTCCCTTTCCCAACCCTGGCAGGAAAGGGGATCTTCTGAAGTTAGACTAGAGAGGCCATGGACTGGTGGACAACAGGTCCAAGTGAGATGGAAGTGAGGCAACTCAGAAAACACAGGGCTCAGGGAAAAGCTACACACTACACCTCAGGACTCCAGCCCTCTCCCCTGTGTGGCTGCCAGAACTCTGCCAAGCAGGAGCAGTTATGTAATTTGCAGGGCCGAGGGCAAAATAAAAATGTGGGGCCTTTGTCTAAAAAAAAAAAAAAAAAAGAGAGAGAAGGAAAAAAAGTAGTAAGAATTTCAAGACAGTGACAGCAGGGCAGTAAAATAAGTATGAGGTCCTGTCAGTGAGGGGCCCTGTGTGACTGCACAAGTGTGCACCTTTGAAGCCAGCCCTGCTGCAGGGTACTCCTGCACAGGCAAGAGGTTGGAGCATTTTTCTTGAAAAATTGGACAGCACAGAGAAATAACCCACACATGCTGTCATGCAGGAATTTCTCAATAAAACATCCCAATTTTCATCAAATTATCAGTGTTGGTATATTATGACTGAGGGTGATTTTTCTGCACAAAGAAAGATTACTTGGAAACCATTCTGGGTTTTTTGTTTTTGTTTTTTAAGTAAGCTCTATGCCCAGTGTGGGGCCTGAACTCACGGACCCGAGATCAAGAGTTGCATGCTCTACCAACTGAATCAACCAGGCACCCCATTCTGTTTTTTTTTTTAATTAATATTTGACCTATTAATGTGACAAATTTTAAAACCTAGTTCTTCCTTAAACTATTAAATTCAGTTTCCAGATCTGATTTGGTAGATTTATAGATTTACTAAGATGTAATACTCACTTTTTTTTTTTAAACCTTTGACCTCCTTTACCCATTTCCCCCATCCCCCACCCTCACCTCTGGCAACCACCACTCTGTTCTCTGTATCTATGAGGTTGTCTTTTTTTTTTCCTTCAAGATTCCAAATATAAGAGAAATCATTCAGTATTTGTCTTTCTCTGTCTGACTTATTTCACTTAGCATAATGCCCTTGAGGTCTATCCACTTGTTG